CCCAGAGCTGGTCCGGAGACGGAGAAACGGAGAGCGGCCAGGAAGTTCTTTCTCTCTCTCTCTCTCTCTCTCTCTCTCTCCCTCTCCCTCTCCCTCTCACTCTCCCTCTCCCCCTCTCCCTCTCCCTCTCCCTCTGACCCTCTCCTCCCCCTCCCCTCCCCTCCCCTCCCCTCCCCTCCCCTGAAGGGGTGTACCGGCTCACCCCTCCCCTCCCCTCCCCTCCCCTACCCCCCTCCCCTCCCCTCCTGCTCCCTCCCTCCCCTCCCCTCCCCCTCCCCTCCTCTCCCCCTCCCTCCCCTGGACCTATCGTCCGGCTCTGCGTCTGTGTTCCTGAAAAGCTTGATAACACACTGGAACCTCTAACCGCCGTGGCCCGTCCGGAGCCGGCGCTGGCTCAAGGTCGCGAGTCATGCCCGCATTGCTGAGGCAAGACCAATTCGAAGCACTTAGACTTGGTGCCCCGCAACGACTGCACCGACTTGTTCCAGGGCAAGCTCGATGCATGCCTGGTAGTTGCTGTAGATTGTAGGGGAAGGAGGAGGGCAGTAGGGTAAACATAGTAGCAGTGTAAGTAAGCGTAGCAGCAGCAAACATCGAAGTGACAGGTAGCAGTAGCTAGCTAGTACCATCGTTTAGATTACCGACCTGGCCTTTGGAACCACAGAAGAACTGTGGAAGGCAGCTCATGTAGGTGCTTCGGTGCTCAGATCATGCTTAGGAAAGGACGGCTTACCAGGTATGTTGTTGTGGCTTGGGTCTGCACTTGAAGCATGAGCCCTGATCTGCAGGTAAGCTCACATAGGAAACCTGACAAAACTGTTAGGAGAATTACCGCACCCCGCCCCACCCCCCCACCACCCTTACGCATTTTACGGCATGCAGGCAGGTCCCGGTGCGATCTCGGTTGAAGTTTCTGTCACATGTGCTCGTGCTTGCCGAGGGCAAACATCCTGGCCAGGTTTCCCGGGGACCTGCGGCCAGGAGAGTCGAGGGCTTCAACCGATCAACATTTCCTGGGCATTGAGGACGGCTCTGCAGCTCATGCTTGGGGTCTTGGGCCATGGGGCGTCTACAGGATGCCCGCAGATCCTGCCTGCTGTGCAAGTGGAGGCCGAACAGAAGAGCTGGCACCACGACGGCCTAGGAAGGACACCGGGCCAGTTCGGGCACAGGTGGCATCTGCTGCGTCTCCCGATCCCAAGCTAAACGAACTCTCATATGCCCGACAAAGATACTCTATCACAACAGCCAGAGTCACCTGAGCAGACATTGGCATGTTTCGATGTCGGGTTGAACGTGACTCTGTCGCTTATTGGTTTGCCGGAATGCGCAATGTCCAGAGCCACGGACCGCTATGATGAGGTTGATGGTCAAGTTTCGCCACGCCCTCTGTCTTCTCGCCCTGGCATTCCAAGCGTTTGAGACTTGAGACTGAAGCAGGGTTGGGCTTTAAAGCGCCTTTGGCTTTGGGTTTGGTGTATCTTGGTTTTCAAGCTTGCAGCAGAGCTGCTTCGATTTCAAGAGAACTCCAGGAGCTTAACGTTTCAAGTTGCAGATGTCTCACCCGGCCACCGATGTAGTCCTTCGGTTTGAGGCGTGCTTGCTTGCTGGCTTGCTGCCTTGCTTGCTGGCTTGCTTGCACTCCAGGTTAGGCGGACTGGCACTGTTTGAACGCATGACCAGAGCTTTATTGTTGAGGTTGGAAGGTTGAGTTCGCGTCTGGTTCAAAGGAACTAGGCTCTTGGGGCTTCTTGGGATGTGAGTGCAGGAGGCATGCGGCGCGCCTTTGAAGCGGACCGACATCCCTGCAAAATTCCAGCCCGAAAAGCTCCCTTCGGAGCCAATGGGCCTGTGAAGGCCGTAGAGCAGCTTGGCCTGCCCTGACCTGGCCAGCAGAGATTGGATCTTACAGCTTTCTCGACTTTGGGCAGAGCAAGGCAACAGCGCAGCACTGCAGGCCGTGCAGCCCACCTCGTGACAAGCTCACGAAACCCTCCCTGACCAAATCTCACCAATGCGCCATTCAGAGCTCTTGGTCTGTAATGCTGGTCGGGCGGGCGCGCTGCCCTTGCTGCCCTCGCGAATTGGAGGAGTTGGGGCTTCGGGGCGCCTTGAGGTCCTCAACTCGTCAGAGACCAGAGGCAGTCTTTCTTGGCCGCAAGGTCCGAACCCTGTCGCTAAAAGCCAAAGAAATCTGTTGAAGGAGCTGGGGCCTTGGTTGTTGGACAGATCTGTTGAAGAGGCAACCCGGCACGGCATCATGGGGGCGGGAGGACGTCCAGCAGGTTCACGTCGCTGCAACCATGGACTTTCTTTTTATCTGAGAGCTTACGCTGAATGCATGCCACCTGACCCAAACGAAACACTTCAATTCCCAACTGCTGGAATCTGGGCTGCCACGTCGCCTTCACTGGTGCCGGGATGCTGTTCGCAGACTTGCCTGGATCTCACAGCTACACCGTGTTGGCACGATTCTCCGCTGCCTTTTCGCCGTGGTGGTAGCAGGAGGAGGAGGAGGAGTCCGTAGTCGTAGCGGTGGCAGCAGCAGCAGCAGCAGCAGCAGCAGCAGCAGCAGCAGCAGCTGCAAGTGCTAGCAGCAACAACAAGAACAGGACGAAGAAGAGGAGGTCAGCTGTGGCAGCAGCAGCTGTGATTGCAGCTGTTGCAGAAATACTCAGAACTCATGTGAGAACTTCACTTGCGCAAACCACAGCAGCATTGTTAGAGAAGTGCAACAATAGCTTTCGCTCATGAGGGGCAACAGGGGCAACAGGTACCTGGGGCACAGAAAGCAAGACACCCATCTGCCCAGCAACACGTGAAGAATTTCTTCCGCCCTTTCCAACACCACGGACACAAGACACACTCGGCCCCAAAACCTGGGGTCTAGAGACCTGCAACTCAAAAAAACAACTCGCAATTGGTGGCGAGGGCTGGAATATTCGGAAGTCGAAGGGTCGGTGTGGCTTGGGAGGAGCAAAACTTGACGATTCTCTCAATTGATCGGAAGGGTGTTGCCTGAACAGATGCATCAAGGTTAAGATTGACAATGCAATGAATTGATCGAACCCCAACAAGCAAGCACAGTTCTATGTCGGCGACGAACAGGATAACCTGAACTTTCTTCTGCCAAAATTCGCTGCCTTTGCACGAAGAGCACGATACATCTACGCAGAGTTCTAGTCGAGTCTAGTCATGCAGCACACATGGGTGCAGCCGGTCGTAATTCTGAGAGGCAAAGACGAGCACCAACAACCAACAACGAGACGCCAGTCAAGGCACCACGAAGACCAAGCCCCAAACGCACAAAACCCCAGGATCCAAAAACGCCGACTCCCGCGCCCCCAATCCTCGGAACAAGCCCGACCGGCACCTGTCCTATTGACCTCCGGAGCCTACCAAAAGTGCAAAGCGAAGAGTCATTTCAGATTTTGGACTCGCCGGTTTTCCAAAGCCCATGCAGCTGGGGACGGTACCGCCTTCTGCCACGCTCCTGTGGATGAGGCGGCTTTGGGTGGTGCTTTGACCCGACTTCGGACATACCTTGCCTTCTTTAGGACTCCACGTTCTGAAGTGAGCAGCTCCTATAGTGTCCAGTCCAGAGTCGAGGGGCGCTACATCCAGCGAAGCTCCAAATCTGGAGCTACCAGTATTTCAGAGTCGAAAGTAACAGGTGCTTCCACCCGACATAAGCCTCTGCAACGAAGCCACTTCTTATTTCTGCCTGACTCGTTCGTGAAGTTGTCAAAGGCTGTCCCCCAGATTAGAGCTTAAGTGCGCGAAGCGAGGGTGCGACACTCGTCGAGGCCCCGGCGCCGCGGGAACAGAGGCTGCCAGCAAAGGTGGCGGTCTGTGCAGATGTTTGCGCTTGGGGTTTAGGTTAGCCTGCAGGATGGAGAAGGTTTGGTTCTGAGTCAGGCTTGGTTCGCACATTTGTGGCGCTTGGTAAGGACGATGTTGGATGCATTTCAAGCTCCGATCCCGGAATGCATGCGTCGAGAACTGGGCGACATGCGCTGAAACTCTCGCACGCGTCGCATCGCTGCGTTTTGGAGCAGGGCATTGGGGTTTTCAGCAATTGAAAAGCTAGGCCAACCCCAACTCTTCAGAATGCTCACAAAGCCAGGTGAAACAACTGAGAATACCCAATACAGATTTGATGATTTGCTCATGTAAGCAGCAATCATTAATCCCTGTACCGCTGTAGTCACTCAAGACTCTCCCCAGACGCGAAAGCATGGCTGACACCAGGGCTCCGGCAGACCACGCCCTTCTTTTTGCGCTGCCTCATGGGACTGCTAGCTTAGGCCTAGGCCCTTCCAAGAATGGCTTGAGGTCGTGGAATGCCCGGCGTGGCACTCACCCTCTTTTCATTTCACCGTAAGCAAAGACCTAAGTCCTATACTCGATGCAATTGCTTCACGTGACTCGCATGAAGCTGCAGTTGTTGAAACGCCACAGCCAGGGGGCCTGGGGACTTCGATTTGAGCTTGAGACGTAAGCTGCAATACAATACAATAAAGCCCCCCCCCCCTTCTGCGTTTTCTGCCGCCATCCCTGCAATCACCTCCACATTCCAGGCCAGCCGTTAGATTGCAAACCCCTGCTTCCTGCGTGCATACGAACCGCTGCATCCCGTCACGTGACATGCTAAGCCTCCGCCACGACAACGCTATCATGGAAGGCATATCCCCATGTGCCTTGTGGCGGCGGTGCTCGATAATATCCAGGAAGACCAGCGCTAGTCGCTCGCCTCCCTCCTGTCATGACGCAGCATGTCTGGCTCTCGGGCAGTGCTGCGGAAATTACGGAAACAACCGCTATTGTCATGCAACTCATGCGGACATTCCCTTGTTTGACATCGCGTTGCGGACAGATAGGTGCGAACATCCCGAGGCGGGCAAGAGGCAAAGCACTCCAAAACTGAAATACTGGGAGTACACAAGTCACACCAGGAAGACCATGACAACGGTCGTTGACGAGTGCCAAGTCATTGATGCACCTGACCGACTTTAACGTCGGACATGTCATCGGAACAATGCACCTTGGCACTCCTTGACACGATATTCCTGTCCGTGATGAAGAACCGCGTGCCCAGTTTCGAAACATTCTTCGCACAAGGCTAGCAGCGTGCTGAACGCAGGATTGCTCACACGGCGACATGCGACGCAGCCAGCTGAACTAGGGTAGCGACAGTTGGTTCAACTTCGCGGCTTGGACCGTTGCAACTGGCAAAAACAGTTGTAGAACCGCCGGAGACACTTCAGAGACTAGGACGATGTTGAACCGCAAGGACGCAAAGCCTAGGGCAGGAGTCGGATCGTTGTCAGGGGAGGAGGGTCGACAAGCCAAAACCAAAAAGCAAAACAAAGCTAGAGGGGATGCAGCGAATCAAGCCAAATAACGACTAAACGCACAAACAAAAACTGACCAACGATAAACGCCCCCCCCCCCTCTCTCAATCAGTAGCAGAAGCTGCAACATGCACTTCTCCAAGCCCATGCTCCTGTATCATCTGGTCGGCCAGCTTCACCCAGTTGGAAAAAAGCTCCTGGCGCAGGATCTTTGTCAGGACTTTTGATGCAAGTCTTGACACGAAGCCCCTACTCTGGAAGAACTGACCCGAGAGCTCCAGCAGTCACGAGGACTCCAGCAAGGGGAAATGCTAAAAGATATGCTGCGGGTTCGTCTGGAAGGATGCTGCCAGATTCAGAAGTGGGTGTCGAGGCTGTGGCATGGCCGTGGGAAGCCCAGGTGATGGAGCTGAGAGTCAGGACGGAAGCCGGGGCAGAGTCCTGTCTAAGATGAAGATTCCGGAAGCTTGAACCTGGCACCGCTTCCCGAAAACCCCAAAACCCTACAGTTTCCACTGGCTATGACCACGATGAGACTTAAATAGATTCTGTACAGCAGTCTAGCATCCGAAGAACTACCCAGGGACGGTGAACCATGCAGGTCGGGACTCAAAACGCTATGAAGCCGAAGCCCCCTTTTGCTCTTCCCCGGAGCGTGGGTGCGGAGGCCTCCGAGAGCTGAAACGGAGATTCGATCTTTCGGCTCCCATCCGCATGATTTACCTGGAGCCGCGGTGAGGAGAGAGGTCGTGAGGGCTATAAGGATTTTACTGGAGGGCGGGGTTTTGGACGGTTTACGGCGTGGGACGGCGTCTGCTCAGGGTGGCAAGTTGAGGGTGTGCTCGTGGCTCCAGCCATTCTGGCGAAATCCTTCAACCTCGAGGCACGGATGCCGCAAAGGTACCTTTGCACCTTGCAGGTCTATGGATACCGGTAGGTGAGGGTCCAGAAAATTTCTTCCCGCAATCTCGAGAGCCATGAAACAACGACAGTGCCTGCCTCCATGTGGGCTTCGTTTCATGCTCGACGGGGCATCCCTCGGTATTTCCCTTCTCAAAGCCAAAACACCCGAAGTATGAAGGAGTTGCTGGAACTCAAGTCACCTTATAAACCTCCAAGCCAGACATGAAAACCGAAGTCGGCATAGTGCAACCGCCTGGGCAGGCACAGCTTCCTTCTACGATTTTTGGCCCAGGCACGTACATGGGACCGTAGATCTCGTTGCACACCTCCAGCCAAGGAGCTTTAGGTATCCTCGTCACTTTCCGCTGACTACGGGAAGACCTTGCGTTCCGCCCCTGCATTCCTGCTCCCACAACAGTTGAGTTGCAATCAGGCTTTCTTTCCTCAAGAAAGGATTTCGGTTGCCTGCCTAGCATAGACCAGTGCCCATGCATGACAGTCTAGGACTGAGCTTATAATATAATATATAATATAATATAATACAATATATAATATAATATATAATATAATATATAATATAATATATAATATAATATATAATATAATATATAATATAATATATAATATAATATTTTCCCTCCGGCCTTGTCGGCCATCTCACCGGCCCACTGCCTAAAGAGCTCAGGCGGAAGCCGGTGGCCCCACTGGTGATACCTTGCGAGGACCAAGGCACGAGGAGGCTCAGGAACCCCGGTGCCCAGAGTGAATACTCCGTTGATGCCATGGTAGCTTCGGGGCTGTTCCTGGTCGACGTAAGATCCCGCACGGGGCCTAGAAGGATGGGTACAGAAGTCTAAATAGTACAGTGCGACGACAGCTAAGACAATGAAAGCATAGGCGCACGTGACAAGGAAAAGGACAGGGACGGTGGCAGACACCCGATAAGCCAAGGAAACACCACGAGGACAGGAGAGCATAGCACCGAAGCCAAAGACACTCACACCGCTACACTCCGAGATCTGAAGTGCGGCGGGCTGAGCAGCCATTCCAAACTCGGATCTTCGGCTGAAGCCCAAAGCCGGTCGGGCTGCTGAGCTTTGTATTCCAAGTCCAGCATCGTCATCGAGGGGATCTCCGGCAGCTTCTTCGGCAAGTGCTCCTGATTGGGCCCCCTCCCCCCCTTAAATGCATGATAAATGCAGAGCACAGGAACGGGGGACTGAGCCGGAACTCACTCAAGTCTAAAGAACTCGAGCCTCTGCAGCACCACAAGCAAAGACTTGCTGAGACCCCGGGGTCCTCCCAGAATGACAGCAGAGAGTGCTCCTCGCCCTGGTAGACAATCTTCACCTAAGACCCGCAGAGAAGCGATCTGCCTCTGGGGAGTTCTCGGGATTACTCGTGTCCTGTGCCGTTGCGGGTGTATGCCTCGGATCATGCTTCCCAACCCTCGGGGCACGGAATGGCTGTTTCGGGTCAGCTGCCTCATTGTCATGGTTCTTAACGCTGATTGCTGCCCTTGCATCTGGGTGCATGACATCGGCGCCGAAGCTGTTCTCAGCAAGCCTGCCCAAGATCATGCCAGACAGGGGACAGAGGACATGCCTGAGTACGTGCCGAGGCGTGTCGAGAAGATGCAAGAGACCAAGCCTCGCCGGACCTAGCTCAACTTACAAAACCTCGTTCTGACAAACATAACAGCTTAAGATATCGACAAACTTCGGCGGGCGGCCAGTGAAGAGGCTGATGCAAGTCGCCGACAAGCGTGGTCAGCCACCTTTGCGCTGTTCGTAGATGTAGCTGGTGAGACGGGGAGTTCACCGGCAAGCCGTATGGTGGCCTCTTCTCCCTCCATCGACGGATGCCCAACGGTGCAAGTTTCTGGTCCTCTACAATTGCGATAGCATCCCACCTTACTAGTCCCTGGTAAGCTGGTACATCCCTGACAAGGCCTCCGCCTTGATTCGGGACTGTCCATTCAGGTTGAAAAATCTTGGAGTTCAACTGAAGACGAGAAGGGGATCCATCCGTGCGCTAGTAGCCAGGGTTTGACTTATCATCAGGGCGACTTCTGGTGGAATGCTGAACCCGAGCTCGAAGAGTTTGAGTGCATGAGGCATGAGGCATTACATGCAAACACTGGGGAACTCTCCCGGCCACTTCCCGTCTCATGGGCCGGAAGCTGAAGTTGTCGGTTGCTGTCTTTGCTGCAAGCAGACCTGGGCCTAGGCACCCCAAATATTTATGCCGATGCCGCGGTCCAGAGATTGTTATCCAGACTCGAAGGACCTCACATTGCCGAGATCCCGGCCGCAAATAGAAAGCTGCCCTCGCGTTCTTTCCTGGTACGGGGGTTTCGGATTGAAGCGACTGTAGCTGGGAGGTTAGTCAAGCTCCGGGACCAGGAGGTTCTGTGAGTTTCTGACAGGAAGTGCCATGAAGGCAAACTGCAAGACAAGCCCAGAAATTTGAAATCCTTTCCGCACACTGGGCTGCGGGCTTGGCTGTCCGTCGGCGAGATCGTCAACGTTCACCTCACAGAGGGCACGGGACCTTTCGCCGTCAAGCTCATAGAGTCGACCAGCTTTGGGCTTCGGCCGCAGGGCTTCTTGGGAAACCGTAAACCCTACAAGGGCTTAGGGCAAAACCCTAAATCCTCAAAAGGGCTTTTAGGGTGAACCCTAAAGCATAAACCAGGCCTTATCAAATGCAGGGATCTTCTTGGGAGTGTCGATTGGCACCTTTGGCTCCGGATACTCCTCGCGTGAGGAGCCGTGGTGTGCTTTGGGGCTGGGGCTTTTGGCAGGAGGAGGATACTTTGGAGATTCACGCTCGCAGAACTGATATTCGTACGTGTGCGTATGTATATGTGTACATATATATATATATATACACATGATTAAATACATGTATGTCTACATGATGTGTGTTTTTTACTTATCTGTCTACACTTTACACTTTCCGGACTGTCTGGGTATGCAGCCATACCCTACACGAGAGTGACGCTCCTCCCGACTCACAGCGTCTGATGTTTGCACACGTTGTCGAGCTTTTGTTGTGCGAGGATGTACGCGGAACCCCCCCAGCCCGGACAAGGCAATCCTTCAGCAGCATCTCGTCTGCCTGGGTGATTGGGACTTGTAGGGCTCCTTGAAAGGGTTCTATCTTCAAGGCTTTTCTTGCTACTTCAAAGGTCTAGTATCGAACTGATCTTTGGGCGTATTCTCTGCTATCCAACATAAGCCGTGGATGGTACGTAGTTGGGAGCTGTGTGGTTGGACATGCATGATGCTGGGTTTGCATTTTGGGCAGCATGATGTTCTCGACTAGAACATGCTACCCGGCGCAGCACGACCTAGTGATCTGAAGTATGTTGATCCGATATCCGAAGAGCCAGAGTGCAAGCTCTGGTTGCATGCCTTGCGGTCGCGAACACCTTCTCCAGACCAAGACACACCTTATCCGAATAATATACCAGATCCATACCCGAACGTCCCTGCAATCCACGACATTCTGGAACCTGAGTAGCCGACAAAATGCGAAAAGAAAAACGCCTCGACTGTGCGGTGGGAACTTGCAGGCTCATTGGACTTGACAGGGCTCTGATTAGGACGATCTCTTATAGGCTGTTGGTTTGTACCTCGACTATCGCTGAATTGCGCACCGACTTACTAGCTTTCAGTTGGTAATGTCATCGTCTAGTATTTTCCCAGCAAGCACAGACATGTAAACAGCAGTCGACAGCTCTGCTCGCCAAAAGGCTGCTTCGAAGCTCGAAGATGGCTGGATGCTGAGACTCAACTGAATGACGTGGAATTTGACCCAACTGTTATGCACAAAGATGATCACGACAATCTTTGTTTTGGGAAAGCCACGCCATCCCCAAATTCACAAAACAGGTCTGTCGAAGACAGAGCCCTGAAGGAACGCCCTTGACAAGTGGTGGCTTTCCAGCACTGGGCGACGAATAACCTCTTGCGCGGCAACACTGTGCATCCCCACCACCATCACAAAGACAACGACAACCGAATGCCCTGAACTCGGCCTCGGGGTCTGCGACCTCAATCTTAGAGGGTCTTGTGCATTCTTTCGTTGGCTGAGGTCGTCGCCAGGGCACAGAACATCGACCTTGGGGTTGGCACTGGGCTGGTGAATGCGAAGATCGAAACTCGACGGAAATCCCACAGACCACAGCGAATCAAAGCCTCAAGCTTGTACTCACAGGCCCAAACTCTTGACTCCGACATGGAACACAGCACCCTTCTGCAAACTTGTGCCAAGAAGCCCATCCTCTGCACCCTTGCCGTTGCAGCGGATGTGCTCTGTCCTCTGCTGGACCATGGACTTGCGGACTACTGGCCGGTCCCTCCTGCAAGTTTTTGAACTCAAGCTGTCGGGCAGGGCTGCACAACGTCTTGAGGTGGACGGACGTCGTCTACATACTCTGGGGCGGTTCTGCGGCTCAGTGAAGAGGTGCCAGGCCTCTGGCTTGCTAGAAAGTTGGGCAATGCAGCATACCATGCCGACAAGGCACTTCTGTGCATCACGCTGCCCACAAGTCCACTCGGACTTCTGATGATGCCTCGGCAGTCGGTCTACCCCGAGCAAACCGACGTCGGTGCCCCCTCAATCGAAGAGGTTGCTTCCAGCATGGATGGCCGCTCGTCTATGTCTCGCCCTCCGTCTCTCTGTACACTCAACCATGTCTGCCCAATCACCAGTCCATCGCTCTGTCAATGCAGCTTTGTATACAACTATGACAACTTGCCAGTACGAGTAAGCCGGGAGAACCTTTGCTTGCACGACACAAGGACTCCTGCCTGCAGACTCTTCAAGTACTAGGACCCTTCCTCAAAAGAACCTTTTAACAGGTGCACTCCAATAAGGATTTGAGAGTTTGGCTTAAATGAAGCTTGCTCCCTTATATGGTATAGATCTACAATCCTGGTTTTTCAAAGACGTTTCAAGCAACCCTCGTTTAGGGCCGGAGCCAGTGGAGCTTCTCCGTCTCGGGGTACTTCGAGGTCATCACCTTCTCCCAAGAAGCCGCGGCAGCGACGTCGGAGTGCATCCTCGGAGCGGCCGAAAAGCTGGACACATCTGGACACACTTTGAATCTCGCGGGGCCCTCGGAGACACCAGGTGAAAAAAGATTGGTCATCATTGGGATATGAAAGGTGCTTAAAACGGCGCCACTAAGCAGGTTGCAGATAGGGTGATCATTTGGATTTTGTGCTTCGATTTCCAAAGAGGGCCCAGGCCTCCAGGGTCTCCGTGCTACATTGACCCGGGACTCATAAGTTGGCCCGTACCATCTCACATGTGTAAGCTACCTCGAATTTGGGAAACGTGCACCAAGAAATCGATACTACGCAAATCTCGGAGTGCCTGAGCCAAGCCTCCTGAGACCTGTTTCGAATGAAAACAGAGGTCTGAAGGTTTAGTTTTTAGAGTCTGCGTTTTAAGGGGACTGATGCCCGCTGTCAGCGCCTATGCGTCCAAGTCGCGATGCGCGGGTGCGTTTTTTGGGCTTTATCAAGTGTCAAGCCCGCTCTCCGGTCCCTGAAGCCTGAACAGGCACACCCCGAGCCCTCCCCATGAGCGGTGTGAATTTTTTAGGAAACTATAAGTTTGTCCACCCTTCAGTTTCTGCATCTCTGTATTGTACAGGAGTTCTGAACTTTGAGGACATTATGTCTTTTTTGTGGTGCTTCTTTCTTGCCTTCCTTGCTGTCATCCTTGCGCGTGCCTTTCCTTTCCCCACCGTCACCCAAAACAACAGTACAACAACAATAACCACAACAAAAAACTAAAACACCTACCTTCCCATCATTACAGTAGTAGTCGCCGTCGTAGTAGTAGCAGCAGGATTTTTTGTCGCCTACCTGGCACAGGAGTAGTAAGTAGTAGTCGTGGTGGGCCTCCAAACTCATTTAGTGTTTCGGAGCAGAATGAACCCAGAAGGACGGACAGGAGAAAAGCGTAGCAGGACGAGACCGGAGGATGAGGGTGGCAAAAAGAGTGAAGCGGTAACACAGACAAACGGTGGAGCAGAAGAGGGAAGCATACAAGCCGACCACTTTCGTGTTCGGGTTTCCGGATTGAGGGTATGGTGTTTCTGCATAGCAATTTGAATCATCTCCTAAGCAGAAGCAGAAGAAGCAGCACCTGCAAAGTACGGTTGACAGTCCTCTCAGAAATTTGGTGAGCCAGGGATGTGGAGTCTCCGGACACGAAGGAACGTGACGAAGAAGCGACTTTGAGAAGCCCACACCTGTTGGATTCCTTTCAGTGTACTATACGGATACTAAAAGGATACTTGAAGTAAGGAAATGTAAGAGTACTATCTCGTACTGTACAGGTTACTTCAGAGGCACTGTACGGGTACTATAATGCTATAGGGTGCGAAAGGGGGGCATCCACGGCATCTTCTTCGTCATTAATCAAGGCTCACCATTATCGTCGTCACCATAACCATCACAATCATCCCTGGAAAGAAATCTTGGACCTTGCGACAGGACCGTGTGCAAGCAGGCAACACATGAACGAAAGCTGATGCAGCCGTCGCACCAGCAGAGCATGAGCATCTAGCGGCTAGCCATACATGATGGAGACTGCAGACCGATTTTGTGACCCCTTGCCTCGTGGTGCGCACATGGCCGGCAAGACAGTGCGCAACTGACTTGCAGATTCATCTGTGCTGTTAGAGTACAGCGACTCGTGCGCATGGCCCAGTGCTTCAGCGAAACGAATGCTGCGCAGAAACTATTCAACCCTTTCCAACATCATGGAGGCTGATGGGCTGTGTTCCGGAACACATCAACTATTCGGTTTGCGCAGAAGCTGGGCAATCCTCGTCAGGGTACGCTTCCAAACATTTTCTGAGCATGTCAACTCTGTGAGGACTGCCTTCTGCAAGTGCGAATGTGTCGTGTGCAGCTTGGTGATGAAGGCCTCGATGCTCAGCGGCGGCATGTCTTTCTTCGTCTCGCATTGCTCGCGAATGAGCTGATCAACCATCCCAAAGTCCGCAACACCGTCCTTGCCAAGGAACGCGTAGCAGGTGCACAAGACCTCTTCCTGGAGGAGGGACTCGAGCTTGCGGAACTTCCGAGTCCC